AAACATTATTTGAAGATGTAGATGTTAAAACAACCGTAATCAAACGACATGCTGCATGTGATGATGGTTTTTTTTTTCCTTCCCCCTTTCCTTCTTGGACCTTTTTTTGTCCTTTTTGGCCTCCCCCCCCACCCCACCCTTTTTTTTTTCTTTCCCCCGTGTTTTATTTTGTTGTTTTTTGTTTTTTAAACCCTAGCTTATTGTGGTGCTTATTAAATATACAATAGAGAGATTATTTTTCTTTTTGTCAGAGTTTATTTCAAGCATGTTTAAACTCCGTGACTGATGACTGAGTTCCAAGCATGCTCGGAATAAACACACGCCCATCACCTGTCAAAAATTAAAACCAAAATTAAAGAGAAATAAACGTGGCTCAAGGCTGCCCCCTGCTGGAAGGATCTACTGGTAAGAAAGGTCCAAAGAAGGAAGAGAATATCAGCTAAGCTCTCACGGGACTAGATTTAAAAATAGTTAAAATGACGTTCGCTTAAAAGTCGTCCTTTGGGTGAGGTTGAACTGAACTCCTCACTTTTTTGAGGGGAAAAAAATCAATTTTAAAACTTGAAAAAAAAATGTAAAAAAGAGATTAATCTTTTTCCAAGATTTTTTTTTTGTCGTGCAGTCTTTTCACTTGTAGCCACTAGATGGAGCTCTAGGATAAATACAGCAGAGCCGCTTTTGCAGGAAGAGAAATTTAAAAATCTTTTTCCTGCAGAAAATTATAGGAGAAAGTTCAGAGAGAGGCTGCTTTATCCCCGATCCTCACACACACACCCCTTTCTCCTCTTTTTTGTATGTTCTTTACAACTTGCAAAACCACGCTGATTGCAAGCATTTCAATCTGTCGGGCAGACCAAAAAGCGTATGTTTTACTGTATTGCTGTTTTTTGCGCATTAAAGGCTTAATTCTCCAATCTTGGCGATATCTGTAGATCAGTGTGCACCCCCAAGAGCCCCTCCCCACCAGCCTCACCTGACGCCTTGTAGAGCTCTTTCAAGGTGCCCTGGGGCTGTTCGATCTGATGGACGGTCAGATCCACGGTTCCCCCGCCACAATCGGCCACGATGTAGCGGTCCCCTGCCCAGCAAAGGAAAGAGAGGTAAGGCGAGGCGTGTTGAAGGTATGCCAGGATTATCACCCAGGTTTCCCCCCTCCCCTGAAATGTTTGGGGGATAGGTGCACGGAGCAGGAAGAGGAAGCTNGGGGGCAATATGCTGACTCTGTAAACCGCTTAGAGAGGGCTGAAAGCCCTATGAAGCGGTAAATAAGTCTAACTGCTATTGCTATTGCTATTGCTGGCGACAGGAATTCCAGAATACAGAATAACAGATTTGGAAGTCAGGGAGGTTGCCACAAAGAAGAGGGAGTCAAGCTATTCTCCAAAGCCCCTGAGGGTAGAACAAGAAGCAATGGGTGGAAACTAACCAAGGAGAGAAGCAACCAAGAACCAAGGAGAAATTTCCTAACAGTTAAAACAATTAATCAGTGGGACAACATTGCCTCCAGAAGTTGTGAATGCTCCAACGCTGGAAGATTTTAAGAAGATGTTGGATAGCCATTTGTCTGAAGTGGTAGAGGGTTTCCTGCCTAAGCAGGGGGTTGGACTAGAAGACCTCCAAGGTCCCTTCCAACTCTGCTGTTCTATTCTATTCTAAACCTCCAAGCTCCCTTCCAATTTCTGTTCTGATTCTGGAAGCTGCTTTCTCTTACAAATCTTGGTGTGGCTTCTTTGAAGACAAGGTGGATGATGGATCATGGCTCAGATGAAGCCAGCTAGCTTCTGGGCCATCAGATCTGTGAAAACAAAGCTGGTTTGCTTGCTAAGGAATTTGAGAAGCTCTTCACAGCCTTTCCCATGTCATTTGTGGCCCGTTTGATGAAATCTCCAGGCGCAGCCAGAATCACAGCAGGGACCACAGGAAGGACCCCTCCTGGAACAGCTGGTTTTCCAATTCAGCGTTTCTTGTTTCTTTTTTTTAAACCGCACTTATTGTATTTTTCCAATATTTAAAAGACAAAACACACACAAATGTACACCTATAACAGCTTTTCTATATCAGTATCAATATCTTTCCTAACAATCCTATTTACAAAAATGCTATCTGTTTCACTATCCTAAGTTATATCCCTATTTAAATTATAATAGCGTGTTATTATATAGTAACATCAAGTCGATGTCATATATATCTTTTACAGTCTTAACATTTTATACCCTAAGTTTTACGTTTTACTCTCAATCCAGAAACACCATCTATTCCAAATTTGATAGTACTCGGTTTCCTTCCTCGCCTTCATTTCTATAGACATTCTGCGCATTCATAAATTTTCCTTCTTATAATCGGGTTTAATAAGAGCCGAGGTGGCGCAGTGGTTAGGGTGCAGTACTGCAGGCCACTTCAGCTGACT